TCTACATGGATGGCTGAGATTATGACTTTGCTTTCTGATAGTTCAGTGTACACAAACTTTGCTTCATGCACAAAACAGTTACAACTATTGTGTATAAAATTACCTTCAGGCTATGCATATAAGGTCTATATGAAATGTAAATACATTTTGGAGTTTTGACTTAGATTCCATCCCCAAGATATCTCATTTTCTATATGCAAGTATTTCAACCCCCCCCCCCCAATCCAAAATGTCAAATAAGTTTGACAGCTCCCCCCCCCACTACCAATTTAAATGCAAAGCAGCAATGGGAGCGGCACAACATCATTTGACAAGCACTTGTTATGACAAAATCATCTTTCTATAATTGTGGTTTATCAGCCTTGTGTGATATAGTCTTCAGTCTAGATCAGAGTTTTCCAAATATTTCCTGTTGGCAACATACTTTTTAGACATGCATCATTTTGCAACACAGTAATTCATTTTTACGAGGAAACCAGAGGTTGAAACCGTTTATAAGAGATATGGACACAAATGTGAATTGTAGCAATGCATTTCTCATAAAAACACTGCATTTATATTTTAAAAAATAAATATATAATTTATTGCTTATTTCACATAGGAGTTTCTCGTTACATGCACATGACACACATCACACACCTACACACTGCAGCTGCCATACTAATGTGTTGCGACACATAGTTTGGAAAGCTATGGCCTAGATGAACCAGTGCTCTGACTCAATATAAGGCAGGTTACTAATGTAGCTCTGTTGCATTTCCTACATTTTCACAATTTACAAGAATATTCCTACTGTTGTTGTCATACACTCTTCAGCAAGAGATAGGGACCTTTTCCTAGAGATTTTCTTAATCATTGTAGTATAGTAGTTTGTGAGAAATGCTTCTTTGTATTTGGGTATGAAAACATTGGAGACAATGTATTTTTGTGTTGGGCACCTTCTGGATTCTCATAGTAGTAAAAAAACAAAAACAAAAAGTCAAACGTCCTTCTAATTCTCTGGTACAAGTAGCAGCTAAAAATAGCAACACAGAGAACTAAAGAAGTTTCTCCTGGAGTGATAAGAGCGGGAGCCAAGACAGAGGAGTCTGGAAGACAGTCAGGCCTGTTGTGATGTATTTCCTAGTGGGGCGATTAAGAGCAACCTTGGGAGGTGGACACAGGAATTGTACTTCTGTACAAAACAAAAGAAAGATAGATACAAGCTGACTGAAAGAGATAAAGGTTATTTAACACATTTAGTAGCACAAAATAAATTTTTGAAGTAAAAGTTTAAGAAATTGATACCAATTCACATGTATTGGGCCTCTGACAGAGAAGAGCAGCCAGGCAAACTCATGATGTTATATTCCTGGGCTTTACAATATAGTGAGATACTGAGACTACTCTGCCAGAGAGCTATAGTTCAATTAACTAAACTAGAGTAGCCATAGTACCATAAAAACTGGGACTGGGGACAGCATTAAGGTACCTTGACAATGATAAATTAGATCACCATCATCCCTCCTCACCTTTAGAAAGAAGGTAAAATTGTGGTTGTGGGAGCAGGCCTTTGGGCAATCAGGTTAAAGGACAATGGATAATATTTGACTATGGCTTGGCAGTGGAATTGGATAAGTGAAGCGGAGTAATCATTAGTATATGGCTAGATAAATAGCCACCAGACTGGCAATAGCTAAATGGATTGTAAGTATACTGTTTAATTTTTATTTTAATGTTCATGTTTTTAATTGTTATATTATATTTGTATTTTATGAAGTGGCATTGAATTGTTGCCAATTGTAAGCTGCCCTGAGTCCCTCCAGGGGTTGAGAAGGGCGGGGTAAAAATGTTCGAAATAAATAAATAATAAATAATAAAAATAAAACTGATAATGCTTGCCAAGGGGAAAGGCAATATGACAAGATGAAGACTACATTGGAGAATGGTTGGTAGATAAGTTATCAAAACCCCTGCTCAGATCCTGAGTTTGAAGGACCTGTGCAGGGCTTTTGATAACTTAGCCAAAGAATCAGTAACTAACTCAAAGGGAATGATCACAAATAACACCAGTGGCAATGCACAGATCCACCTTAAAAGGACTAGAGACAAAAGTCATTCCATCCATCCAAAGCATCTTCACCCTTCTTCCTATTAACTAAATATCTGTTTCGACAGGCCTTTGATATCTGATATTGCTGTTTTTAAATTGTTTTAAATTGTTTTTAAATTGTTGTTCAATTTTAGCCTGTTCTTGTAAGCCGCTCCGAGCCCCAGGGGAGTGGCGGCATATAAGTTCGAATAATAAATAAATAAATAATAAATAGATAAATAGTTCTACAAGCAAGATTTTTTTGCCACTAAACACCCCTATCAAAAATCCTTCCAAAGTTGAGAAAAACACGGACTGTGCAGAGATGAGACTGATGCAGTCTTCCCAGTGTTGCTGTCCAAAAACCTTAAGGCCATATGGTTCCCAGCTCTTTCCATGTTGCATAAGGAACCAACTTTGTTGCAATCTGATCCTATGCATCCTTACATAGAAGTGTATTTATTTCCAGAACTGTATCCTTCTTTTTGCCTCCCAATGAGGCAATCGAGGCAGCGGACACAGTAAAATGATAACGAATGGTGGAATTGTTAACGAAGTAGGGTTATGTGACTCCTCTGTTGAAACTTCACTGGTTGCCAGTCTGTTTCGAGGTAAAACTTAAAGGACTGGTTTGACTTTTACAGCCCAAATGGCTTGGGCAAAAAGATCCATAACCATTGACTTCTTTTATTGAGTTCACTTGGACTTACTGCTTATTGAGCATGAAGAGGACTGAGCTTTGTTTGCATGTTTTCTGAATAGACAAAGGAGATGAATGAGGTGCCCATCCTTCTTGTCCCCACCTCAATAATGACACAAACATAAAAGATGATGGGACAACTTGAAGCAAGAGTACAACACTTATGGTCCTGTTCATCATCTTTATTAATGACTTAGAGGAAGTTTTAAAAGGCATGATCATCAAGTTTGCAGATGACACCAAATTGGGAGTGATAGCCATTACTACAGAAGACAGAGGCAGGATTCAAAATGATTTTAATAGATTACAGAGATGGGCCAAAAATAACAAAATGAGGTTCAATAGGGACAAATGCAATATACTCCACAGGCTTAAAAAATAAAATGCAAAGATACAGAATGGGGGACATGTGGCTCGAGAGCAGTACGTGTGAAAAAAGATCTTGGAGTCCTCATGGACAACAAGTTAAACATGAGCCAACAATGTGATGTGGTGACAAAAAAATCCAATGGGATTTTGGCCTGCATCAATAGGAGTATAGTGTCTAGATCTAGGGAAGTCATGCTACCCCTCAATTCTGCCTTGGTTAGACCACACCTGGAATCACACCCTTCCTCCTCCTCCTATTCTCTTATTGTTCTTCCTCTCCCTCCTATTCCTTCTCTTTTTCTTCTCTTTTTCCTCCTCCTTTTCTTCTCTGGTTGCTGCTGTTCTTCTCCTCCTCGTCGTCTCTTGTTGTTCTTCATCTCCCTCCTATTCCTCCTCTTCTTCTTCTCTCCCCCTTCCTCCTCTTCTTCTGTTGTTTTTGCTGCTGCTGCTCATCTTCTTCTTAACCTCTTCCTCCTCCTCTTCTCTTGTTATTCTTCCTCTCCCACCTGTTCCTCCTCTTCTTCTTCTCTTCCTCTTCCTCCTTTTCTTCTCTTGTTGCTGCTGTTCTCCTCCTCCTCCTCCTCCTCGTCTCTTGTTGTTCTTCATCTCCCTCCTATTCCTCCTCTTCTTCTTCTCTCCCCCTTCCTCCTCTTCTTCTGTTGTTGTTTTCACTGCTGCTGCTGCTCTTCTTATTCCTCCTCCTCCTCTTCTCTTATTGTTCTTCCTCTCCCACCTGTTCCTCCTCTTCTTCTTCTCTTCCTCTTCCTCCTTTTCTTCTCTTGTTGTTGCTGCTGTTCTTCTCCTCCTCCCTCGTCTCTTGTTGTTCTTCATCTCCCTCCTATTCCTCCTCTTCTTCTTCTCTCCCCCTTCCTCCTCTTCTTCTGTTGTTGTTTTCACTGCTGCTGCTGCTCTTCTTATTCCTCCTCCTCCTCTTCTCTTATTGTTCTTCCTCTCCCACCTGTTCCTCCTCTTCTTCTTCTCTTCCTCTTCCTCCTTTTCTTCTCTTGTTGTTGCTGCTGTTCTTCTCCTCCTCTCGTCTCTTGTTGTTCTTCATCTCCCTCCTATTCCTCCTCTTCTTCTTCTCTCCCCCTTCCTCCTCTTCTTCTGTTGTTGTTTTCACTGCTGCTGCTGCTCTTCTTCTTATTCCTCCTCCTCCTCCTCCTCTTCTCTTGTTCTTCCTCTCCCACCTGTTCCTCCTCTTCTTCTTCTCTTCCCCTTCCTCCTTTTCTTCTCTTGTTGTTGCTGCTGTTCTCCTCCTCCTCCTCTTTTCTTGTTGTTCTTCCTTTCCCTCCTATTCCCCCTCCTCCTCTTCTTCTTCTGTTGTTGTTTTCGCTGCTGCTCTTCCTCCTCCTCCTCCTCCTCTTCTTCTGCTTCTTCATCTCTTCCTCCTCCTCTTCCTCTTCTCTTGTTGTTCTTCCTCTTCCTCCTCCTCTTCTTCTTGTCTTCTTCTTCCTCCTCCTCCTGTTCTTCCTTCCTTCTTTCCTTCCCTCCCTCTCTCCCTCTTTCTACTCTTTTGGGCTCCTTCCATCTCCTCCTGCCTGCACAGTGGCGGGGAATGAGGCGGCGGAGAGGCAGGAAAAACTGGTTCCCGAGCAGGGAGTTGCCCCCGAGAACCCAGGGCGCCTTGGCCCGAGCGCGCGGGGCTGGATCCCCACACCCGTCGCGGGCCGGGCCGAACCCGGGCGAAGAATGGCTGCCTTTGTGCGCAGGCCGGGCCCCGTCCCACCCTCGGCGGCGGCGGCGGCGAAGGCGGCCTTTGCGCAAGGTGCCGCGCGCCGGCTCAGCAGGGCGCCCCGCCTGTCGAGCAGTAGGTAGATCCATTCCACAGGCAGAGCCGCCTCCTGGGCCAGGTGAGTGACGCGCGCGCGCGGGCGGGGGCGAGGAAGGCGCGCGCGCGCTGCCCAGAGCGGAGCCAAGGCCAGACGGAGCCGGCGGACGCGCGGGAAGACAGGCTCGACCTTCTTCTGCCCCCGCTACCCGCCCTTGATGCCCCGCGAAGTTTGAAGGAGAGGAGGAGGGAGAAAAAGAAGAAGGGGACCAGGAGGGATTCCGAGCAGAGCCCGCCTGTCAAAGCCAAGGGAGGAAGGAGAGCATGTCTTTCAGCAGGAAGAGCTGGTCGGCGCTGTCCAGGTGAGTCTCACCTGATCCCCTTCTCCTCCTCCTCATCATCATCTCCCCCATAAAGCAAAAGATACATATATTGACAATACGTAGAACACAGATTAAAGCACTTAGGGAGCATCTACCCTTTTGACCACCACCTTAACGGGCATGGCTCAATGGTATGGAGTTGTAGTTTTGACAAGGTCTGCCAAGAGAAAGCTGGCACCTCAAGGAAACTACAGCTCCCAGGATTCCATCTCCTTGAGCCACAGCAGTTAAAGTGCTGCCAAACCGCATTAATTCTGCAGTGTAGATGCTATGCCTGGGTGCTTTGGAATCCTGGGAGCTGTAGTTTCCCTGTCTTTTTTGGTAGACCTTGTCAAACTACAACTCACATGACTTCCTGCCATTGAGCCATAAGTGGTGCAAAACCGTGTTAAATCTATGCAGTGTAGATGCACCTCAATACAAATTAATCCACCACCCCCCACTCTCTTTGGCAGACCTTGCAAACTACAGCTCACATGGCTTCCTGCCATTGAGCCATCACCATTGAAGCGGTGCCAAACCATGTTAAATTTATGCAGTTTAGTTGCACCTCAATACAAATTAATTTTTCCCACTGCTCTCTTTGGCAGACCGTGTCAAACTACAGCTCACACGACTTCCTACCATTGAGCCATGGCTATATCCAACTTTAAATCTATGCAGTGTAGATGCACCTCAATGCAAATATTTTTTTTCTCCCTTTAGTTTCAAATTGACTGCCAGAAGAGTCTTTTTCAAGTGTTTTTTTAAAAAATCTGACAGCTCCTTTTAGCTGTCCAATCTTTCCAATAAGTCTTGGACATGAGGGTGGATAGATCGATGCCTTCTTTGGAAGTCCCATCATCCCTGGATATTGGTTGTAGTCCAGGCATGGGCAAACTGGGGCCCTCCCTCTAGGTGTTTTGGACTTCAACTCCCACCATTCCTAACAGCCTCAGGCCCTTTCCTTTCCCCCCTCAGCCGCTTAAGCTTTTCCCCCTCAGTCACCTGGAAACTGGTTGTGGGAAACAGGTTGTGGGAGCCCAGCGAAGAGACAGAAAGATTATTTAAATCAGTTGGCAACAACTCTGCTTCTACTTAAATCGGGAGWTTCTTTTAAGAAGTTTTAACACTTCATATGTCATGAAGGGGCCCRCCCCCCCCCCCCCCACCTTGGCTTGTCAACTTTAGGAACACAGACCTAGGGAAAGTGACTCCTGGGACTATAACTTACATAATCCCCCATTGAGTGTGCTGAGTGTGGGATTCTGGGAATTGCAGTCCTCTAAAAGAAGTCAAAAGTAACTTAGAAGTTAAAAGGAACTTTTCCAAGCGTGTGAGGCCGCTTGCTGAGAAGGTGTGCCTTCTCCTACGCTTTTAGAATGATGTCATTTCTCAAATGCATCCAGGTTTCAATGACTGACAATGCTTTTAACAGCTATTTTTTAAACTTTAAATTTCTATTTTAACGGCATCGTTTTAATAATTGCCCTACTTTGACTATATTTTGATATTTACTTTTTGTGTGCTTTTAATTGTGTGTGTCTGAGCCACTTTGAGGATGAGTTCATGAGAAAAAAGGAGGGGGTTGATGATGATTTAACTCCAGTAGAAATGGCTCCTAGGTAAAGGTAATGGTTTCCCCTTGACATTAAGTCTAGTCATGTCCAACTCTGGGGGGTAGTGCTCATCTCCATTCCAAAGGCGAAGAGACGGCATTGTCCATAGACTCCTCCTAGGTCATGTGGCTGGCATGACTGCATGGAGTGTCATTACCTTCCTGCAGAAGCAGTTCCTATTGATCTACTCACAGTTGCATGTTTTCAAACTGCTAGGTTGGCAGAAGCTGGGGCTAACAGCAGGGGCTCACCCCGCTCCCCATATTCGAACTGCCAAACTTTCAGTCAGCAAGTTCAGCAGCTCAGTGATTTAACCCGCTGTGCCACTAGGGGTTGAATTGACTCCATTAGGACTTAATCAAAGGATAGCAAGTTAAAGCTCATAGAGTGGATAGTTCAAGATTTCCTTTTATAAAAGATGGCTTCCATCTAAAAAAAGAGGACATCTTAAAGTTCTGTGTGGGGCTTTATGCCTCTGTCATGGCCTATTTAACCCAACATTCAAATTACATGGATTCAAATGATGAGAAACTCTTTTTTTTATTGTAAGATTGGTTCAACTGTGGGATAGGTTTCCATTGAAGGCGGTGGAGACTCCATCTTTGGAGGTCTTTCAACAGGTTGGATGGACATTTTTCAAGAGGTGTGTAGTTGTGTGCACCTGCATGGCAGGGGGTTGGACTAGATGGCCTTTGTGATCCCTTTCAACTCTGAGATGCTATAAAAGCAATGACTTGATGTTGCAACTGTCAGGTAGTGATCATTCTTCTTGGATAAGTGGATGGGTGAAATGACTGGATTAAAACATTGTCTATGTGGGTTCACATCAGAATGACATCTGAGATGGTTTATTGACATACTCGGTCCATCACATGATGAACTTAGAGTCAACAAGTGATCATTTCCTCTGTGTGAACTATGTCATATCCAGGGATGCAGAAACCTTATAATTGGTCATGTAGTTTTAGAAGTAGCCATTCATATTTTGCCATGTTGTGAGCAAAGGCTGCACCAGGAGCTTTTAAAAAACATTTGCTTCCAAGCAGAGGTTATTACTACGGGTGCATCTACCCTATAGAACAGTTGTTCTCAACCTGTGAGTCCCCAGATGTTTTGGTCTTCAATTCCCAGAAATCCTAACAGCTGGTAAACTGGCTGGGATTTCTGGGAGTTGTAGGCCAAAATACCTGGGGACCCACAGGTTGAGAACCACTACTATAGAATGAATGCAGTTCAATATAACTTGAACTGCCATGGGTGAATGCTATGGAATCCTGGGAGATGTAGTTTTACAGGGTCTTTAAGTCATTGCACTCCCAAATAACAATTCCTAGAATTTCATAGCATTCAGCTAGTAAAGGTAAAGGTTTCTCCTTTACATTAAGTCTAGTCGTGTCCGACTCTTGGGGGTGGCGTTCATCTCCATTTCTAAGCTGAAGAGCTGCTGTTGTCCATAGACACCTTCTAGGTCATGTGGCCAGCATTCAGCTATTGGAGTTCAAGTAGTGTCAAACTGCATTCATATTACAGTGTAGAGCCAACCTAGGGTATCCTTCTTGAATCCCTAGTGGGAGCTCTTTGCAGCACTCTTTGCTCCCATTCCCATTGTGTTGGAGGAAAACTGATGCTAAGAAATAACCACTGGTTCATAATTGAAAGCATATTTGCAGGATTTTTTAATTTAAAAAATCTACTTATCTGGAAACAGGACCCCCCCCCCCCCCAAATGATGGAATAACCTGTTGTTGAGATAATGCTATGGACTGTGCAGACGTCAGACCTTATTGTGGCTCAGTTTTTTCCTCTAACTCTCTTACGTTGATCAAAGGCACTGAATGAGAGCAAAACTGATTCCCAAGGAAAGCACCTCTCAGCCGACACGCCCCTGGTGAGCTCATAGTCAAAGCATGACTTGATACTATAGACCTTTTGGGCCAAGTCCAACATTCTGAATGACTYCCTTTTCCACTGGGTCATGGTAGTTCTCAGGAACTATGTTTTGGCACAGAGCTTGGGGAAGTGCCTCTTTTGCTYTTATAGTTCCCAGAATCCCSCACCAACATGGACACCAGCAATGCTGACTTAGGACTTCAGGGAGCTATAATCCAAAGCAATAGGTTTCCCAGGTTTATTTTTGAAAGTAGCACTGTGTCCACTGATTGTGGTTTTCATGTTGTTAGCAAGCTTGGTTTTAACTGGTAGTCTAGCCATAGTGAATATGAGTGGCAGCATCTCAGTGCATGTGACAATTTCAGATTATTTGGGAGGAATTCATACATTTCTAGACTGAATTTTATATATAATCATTCTGTACTCTTTAAAGAACCATTTTGTTATCTGAAACAAAATATATCTTTGGTTCCATCACATTTGGATTTAAACAGACCTTGAAAACATATTTAAGTTGAGTTCTTTTCAGCTATGTTTCTAAGTATTCATCTCAATTGCTGCTATTTTTAAATGCTCCCCCATGTTTGTATTAATTACATATGAATGTGATATGGATTTGCAAAATGTTTTAAAATGATGCCTTAAATTATTAATTTTTTTGTCGTGTCAGGAGTGACTTGAGAAACTGCAAGTTGCTTCTGGAGTGAGAGAATTGGCTGTCTGCAAGGACATTGCCCAGGGGACGCCCGGATGTTTTGATGTTTTACCATCCTTGTGGGAGGCTTCTCTCATGTCCCCGCATGAGGAGCTGGAGCTGATAGAGGGAGCTCATCCGCGCTCTCCCTGGATGTGTGTGTTACTAGACCAAGTGCAGTTTAGTGGTTTGAGCATTTGTCTATGACTCTGGAGACCAGAGAAAACGTGACCTTGGGCAAGTAATGCTTTCTTAACCTCAGATATAGGCAATGACAACCTCCCTCTAAGCCAGTGGTTCCCAACCTTTGGGCCTCCAGGTATTTTGGACTTCAGCTCCTACAGTTCCTAACAGCTCGTAAACTGGCTGGGATTTCTGGGAGTTGAAGTCCAAAAAACCTGGAGGCCCAAAGGTTGGGAACCACTGCTCTAAGCAAATCTTTTAAGAAAGCCCTATGATATGTTTTTCTTGGGGTCACTATGTCATAAATGACTTTACGGCCCATAATAACAACAACGGTGTTATATTGTGAAATATAAGCAGGTAGATGAAAAAGGAATTGTATCAAGCCAGTATTGCCCAGAATGACACCCAGTTCTAAAAAAAACCCAATATTACTTTTAGGCAGTAACTTAATGAGTGGTGATGTTTTTAGATTAACTTTATTTTAAAATAACAAGTGAAGTCACTGAGAAATGGAAGACCAAGCCTCCACAAGTTCTATTATAACATATTTTGGAATCTGAGATAATACAATGTGCTCATCACAGATACATGTTGCTCACAACAGTGGCCTA